CCCATGGTGCATGTCACCCGACTATTGTTCCTAATATTTCACCTGGGGAGGATCTTACTGATATCACTAAGGTCATCTTCCTTCGTGCCCACTTGTAACATTTTGTACCTTTTATGACAGCCTACTCTCTGTGACACCATTTCCAGAACTATTACAGCAAAATAATAGGTTTTCTAAAAGCAACTGAACATTTAACTGGGTTTCCAGAATGCAGAACCAGAGTGTTTTAAACATGCATCACCTGAGCACTACAGTTCAGGGGCAAGTAACCTATGACTGGCATCTGACACAGTTTTCCAGAACCTATTACCTGGACCTACCAAAATCTGTTTTCTTACCCACCTTCTTCCTTCCTAATCTGTTCTCACTCTCTCTCTTCTCCTTTTCCTCCTCCCACATTGTGCTTCATCTGGTCCTGTCCTCCACGTTGTTTTTCTTTTTTTTAAACTTCCATTACTTTCCCATCACCCACAGGCAACATGGACCTATTTTTTTTCCTTACCTCAATAATTATTTGGGCATTAAAAAGTTAATCCTTTTTTATTTTTATTTATTTATTTTTTTTAATTTCTAGGAGAGAGAGAGAGACAGACAGCGTGAGCAGGGGAGGGTCAGAGAGAGAGGGAGTCACAGACCGAAACAGGCTCCAGGCTCTGAGCTGGCAGTCAGCACAGAGCCCGACGCGGGGCTCGAACCCACGAACTGCGAGATCATGACCTAAGCGAAAGTCGGACACTTAACCGACTAAGCCACCCAGGTGCCCCAGTTAATCCTTTTTTTAGATTGTACCAGTTGTTCTACATAACTTCATAATTCCCACATCAAATTGGTTTTAGAATAAGGTAATCTAAAGTCCCTTTAGTTTTTATTTTTTCACTGGTTTTCTATACAAAAGAGAATTTGGATATCTTACTATTGACTCTAATAAGTACTATTCAGAATATACCATGTTCGTTGTGCCGAATTTCTTTTTGTATGATGCTGAAAGAACTAGTGGCTAGCATCAGTATTTTCTTTAATTCAAGTAGCTAATTTGATTGTAAAGATTTTATTATAACTCATTTTATCTCTATGCTGTTTCTGTAAAGAATGCTTTTATATGCAGTAACCATAGATCTTGAACAAAACTGGACATGAAAGAAATGTTAAAATTGTCAATAAGCCACCTGTATGCTTGTGTCTAATGTCCAGGGGGTAATGAAATTTGCTCAGTAGCTTAATAGTAGCCATCACAAGTAAGTTATACCATTTTAAAATACGCAGTCGACTCTTATTTGTGAGAGCCTTTGGTCCCGACAGTTTTCTCAGCTGATCAAGACCTCGCCTTGTTTAGTGTGTTTTACTCTTGAAAGACCCCTTATTTGATATTGTTTGTTGATTCATTAACATTGAGCTCACAACCAATAGCACTATAACTCACACCCGAACAAAACCTAGCTAATAACACAGATTTTCTCTGTGAGTCGCTTCATAGCCTTCTTGCATTTAGGAACACTAAATAGTGTCCTCACTGCATTTGGGAGCCATTTTCAACAGTGAAATCTCCAACAAAGACCATAAAAATGCCAAAAACATGGCACTAAATACACTGAAAGAAGATAACTTATTGACATTATGAAAGCTGAAATAATAAGGCAGAGTAGGGCCTCTCTGCAACCTCAGCTGGAAATGTGTAAGTCAGGCAACTCAAATTTTCCACTGCTGTATACATGTCTGTGAATGACTGTGAACACATAAATATTGATTTTGGGGTTACAAATAAATTTTAGTAAGTGGGTGATGTCACAAATAAGGAACCCATGAATAATGAGGATTGACTGAAATTGCTTTATTAAAGCACTGGTCTTGGAGGAATATGTCTCCACAAATGTAAATGCTTAATTCCAACAGACTTTCAAAACAGTAAATTGTTTTTAATTTGTTCCCAGTAGCTTCTTACTGAATAAACCTAGTTCTTCATTATAACAATGAAAATAATGGTTCAAATATATAGAAACCTTATGGTGGAAACCTTAACTGAACTATAATATAAGAATACCTTTGCATTAGAACCTTACTTCTACCTACATCATTGTTTCCATGGAAAAGTGTATTCCAAATTCCAACTGAGAAGCCAAAGCCCTTTAGCTTCTCAAGTCCTCCGTTGCAATGATGACCAGTCTACCACACGCACCTACAGTGTAGGACTTTCATTTTCCTTCTCGTCTAGTTCTGGGATTGGGAGCAGAGCCATAGGAATTGGACTCTGGAGGATAGAACAGGATTGCAGCTCCTGGAAGGGAGTACCTAGGGGCTTAGAAAGGGACATATTCTTCAAATGACTTCCATGAATAACACCATGATTTTTAGGGAAGCTAGGATGATTGTTAGTACAGCCCCAAACTTGACAGAAGCCATATTCTAAAAACAGTGGCCCTGTTAGAAATAAAATTTTAGACCAGGCGATCTATTAAGACATCCTTTTTTAACCCTCCTTAAGGATTTAAGTTTGAAAAAGAATATTAGTGATCTTAAAAACGCAGATGCTGGTCTTCTCTGTGATGAGCTGTGGTAGGAAGCCTCTGATCAAGAGGATAAATACCCTGCAAGTTTATATCAACTGTTTATGCTCTGTGTTTCCCCACAATGTTACTATACTCTGTAATATTTAATAGATGTATATGTGTTCTTTGTTCATTTGTATTCTCTTAATGATTAAAAGTTTGAGGTAAACAGTGATAATTCAAGATAGGAAAATATGTGCTCGTGTACTAAAACCTTTATAGAAATAAAAAATGAACCTCATAAGTTTCTTTTAATGGTTTAAAAGCTTTCTTTTGGGGGAGGAGGGCTTTAATGAGATAGGCTATCTTTCTTGCAAGGTTTCCCAAGCTTAAGGTCTTTTAATGAAAAATAATGGACTAGGTATTAAATAGATTTTAATTCAGTTTAGTTTTTTTTTAAATTGATCTGAGTTTTTTATTTAATAAAGTAATTTAAATATATTAATTTAATACAATATATTAATGTTGGGTCAATTTTTTAATCTTAATTATATTTCAAGAAAGAATACATATTCTATTTTTAGTAAGCAGAGCGTCTGGCAGAGAAGGAAAAATATCTTCTTTTAAAGTCAGAATTCTTTTTCCTTTCATTAAGTGGTCTTTAAATGGATTGGGGACAGTAGCATATTTGGAATTCTCATTTGAAATTTCGAGTATACACCAACCTATTAAATGCCTAGAGTAGTCTAACTGTAAAGGAACTTGTTTAGCTTTATTTGTAGGACTTCTTACATTTCTCTGGGTTTGGAACCCTTCCCCCCGCCCCCCCAGAAACTAGCATTTCATTATGACAATTAGCTTGTCAGAGGCAGATAGCCCTTTTTCTGGGTGTATAGGAAGTTGATGAAACCACATTACCTTGGTACTGCAGTGTAGGCAGAGGGAGCTGAAGTAACACGCTGGGAACTGTCAGCCTTTCCCTTGTTTTCAGGATGACAAAAAGTATTTTTGCACCTTCCCTGGAGAAAGTAAATAGGTTTATTCGCCTTCGCTCACAAATGTCTGACTCATCTACCCAGGTGGCCTAGAACTATCTTAGGTTCTTTAAGAAAATGCACAAGGACTGTGTTACTGTTTGTAGCAAATGCTGTTTTACTAGAAAAGTTTTTAGTGTTTTTTAAATAAGCTTTTGAATAAGTCATTAATGCTGAAACACCAGTTTCATTATCAGCCTTTAGATAAATTTAAATGTTGTTTTTAATTAATTAAATTAATGTTTATCACATCTCATAAACTGTTAGCATTATTTTCAAAGAAACCAACAACAACAAAAACAAAAAAAACCCCAGGAAGATCATAGGACAATGGACAATGGACAAATCATAGGTTAAAGGTTTAACACAGGAAGAGCTGAGATTTTTAAAACCTACAGGAAAAAGAATTGTGTGCAATTGATTTTTAGCAAGCTAATAGCATTCTAATCAATACGAGAAATCAAGGCATTTGGTTTGATTGTAGGAGAGTGTGAAAATTTCTGCATGGCATATAAATAATGCAGCTAAACAAAAAAAAAAAACAATGGGGAAACACAGCAAGTACAACAAATTTGAGATTTATACTATTGGAATAAGTCTTGTAATTTAAGAATATTATCAAAAATAAATGAGAAAAGGCCAAGCAGTTCATACATGGGGAAGTTGCCAGCCTTAAGTAAAGGAATTAATTTCCATCAACTAATTATTTTATGCACACCTCTGTGTTATACTATGGTTGGTGTTCTAGTTTCTGTGGTGAAAACAACACTCGGTCCTTTTCGGAAGCGAGGAAGGCAAGGGTCACATGAAACAAAGGAATGCAATGGAGTTCTGAAGATACACTTAAAAATGCTGGCAAGGCTGTGGAAACTGGTTCAGTTATTATTCACAAAATGACAAACATCTTTTTTAACCTCAGAAATGATCCTAATGAGGTATTTTTTAAAAATAGCTTATATGTTTTTAAGAAATATCTTCTATGTTGAGCAATAGGGCTTGGTCAAGTAAGTAGCATTTCTTTACCCACTAAAGAGTTACTTTGTAATTAAAATTATAATTACATGGGGCATGTGGGTGGCTCAATCCGTTAAGCATCCAACTCTTGATCTTGGCTCAGGTCATGATCTCACAGTTCATGGGATTGAGCTCCATGTCATGCTCTGCACTGACAGCATGGAACATTCTTGAGATTCTCTCTGCCCCTCCCCTGCTTGTGCGCTCGCTTGCTCTCTCAAAAATAAATGAATGAATGAATGAATGAATGAATTAATTAATTAATTAATTAATAAAATTATATGAAATAATGTCATGAATAAGTGGCTATAGTTGTATTCATACTGCTGAATTCATTTCTGTGAAATAAATAAGTACTTGGTCATTAATGGTAGTAAGATTATGAGATACTAAAATTTCTTTTGAATAATACTTAAAAGAAGAAATTTTAAGACTCATTTTTTTAAAAAATGTTTTTTCTTCTTTTTAGTTGACTACACAAGACTCTGCCTTCCTCACATTTCCATAGCCAGCGACATGACCTGACACCTTGATGACCAGTCTCAGGGCCCTTGGGTGACTGGCTGGTGCACCATGGAACTTAAAGTATGGGTGGATGGAGTTCAGAGGATTGTTTGTGGGGTCACCGAAGTTACAACTTGCCAGGAGGTTGTAATAGCCTTAGCTCAAGCAATAGGTAAGTGAACTCTCTGGGAGTCTCAGACAAAATGGTTTATCCTTCCTATTGTTTGGAGTTTTTTGTATTAAATATAGATTTCTAGTTTTTTGTTTATTTGGTTCCATAATACACCTCGAGAGCGCACTTATTTACAGTTCCCCATGCTTAAGTAAATCTGTAAAGACACTTGTTTTCTGGCTCCCCTCAGATTTAACTGATCTCAAGTCTAGAGTCTGCACTGTCTTCTACTATCTTGTTGTTTATCCTAAACAATGATTTCTAGAACTAAAGATGTTTTCTTGAGCCAAAACATAGATATCCTAGTTCCCAGATCCCTCATTAGGAAAAAACCCTATTTACTGTTTATTCTGACTATTTTTTTGAAAAGAAAAATGCTGGGGTACCTGGGGGGCTCAGTCAGTTAAGCATCCAACTCTTGATTTTGGCTTAGGTCATGATCCCAGGGTCATGGGATAGAGCTGAGCATGGAGCCTGCTTAAGATATCCTCTCTCTCTTTCTTTCTCTCCCTCTTTTCCACTTGCATACTCTCTCTTGAGGAGCCTGAGGTGGCCCAGTCAGTTAAGTATTCAGCTCTTCATTTCTGCTCAGGTCGTGATCTCACAACTCATGAGATTGAGTCCCGCATCTGGCTTCACACTAACAGTGTTAAAATGTTAAAAATAAACATTTTTTAAAAATAAAAATAAGGGGCACCTTGGTGGCTCAGTTGGTTAAGCATCCGACTTTGGCTCAGGTCATGATCTCACAGTTTGTGGGTTCAAGCTCCACATCAGCCTCTATGCTGACAGTGCTGAGCCTGCTTGGTATTCTTTCTCTCCCTCTCTCTCTGCCGCTCCCTCACTTGTGAGCGCTCTCTTTCCCTCTCTCTCTTTCTCTCTCTCTCAAAATAAATAAACATTAAAAAAAGATACTGCTCTTTAAAAAATGAAAATAAAAGTAAAAATGCACAAATACCATGGTTCTTCAATAGCAAGATAATGTGTGCTTTTTAAAATCTTACTATACAGTGAAGATGTTGTCAAGTACATCATAGTCACCTGCATAGTTGTAACTTTTCTTCTTATTAGTCTCAGTTTATCCTTATCATATCCTGTATTGTTTTTTAGTTGCTTTAACCTTTTTGGAACATGATGAGGGCATAAGCACCTGCATCAGAAAAGCTAGTAATGTGAGTTACACCTTATATTTGCATCTTAAGTCAGTCATTTAGCAAACATGATTAAAAAGAAGTTGTATCCAGCACCATGCCAGGTGCTCAGTGCCTCTTTGTCTTTGAGCAACTGATCATAAGTTTACTTTGTGTCATGCTAATTTATATTGGAAACATGTCAGGTTCATTTAGGATTGAGAAAAATCACCCTGTACCATGATACCTTAGCATTTTATAGAGGCAATTGTGGCAGATACACTGTTAGAAGTTGCCAATGCCCTGTGCAAAGATAGAGACTTTTTGTTTTTTATGTTTGTTTATTTTTGAAAGAGAATGGGAATAGGGAAGAGGCAGAGAGATGGGAACAGAAGATCTGAGGCCGGCTCTGCACTGACAGCAGCAAGCCCAATATGGGGCTCAAACTCATGAACCGTGAGATCATGACCTGAGCTGAAGTTGGACACTCAGCTGACAAAGCCACCCAGATACCCCAAGACTTTCTTTTAATACTGATATCTTGATTTTTCCTTAAATACTGTGTAGCACATACATATGTTAAAATAATGCTAAAAATCCTAGGCTTTCCCACTCAATGAAGTTCTTGCATTTGGGCCTATTTATATTTGTGGACTTAAGTTTAACTATTAAAGAAGGGAAAATTAAGGCATTTAATTTTTTTTCATATTCTTTGCAACCAACTTATTTAGTAGTTGTCCCTTTTAAAAACCTGATAAAGTATTCTAAGTAATGATTATAAAGATTCTCACAGATTTGAATAAACAGTGGATGAACTCAATGAGAACTTCAACAAAGTTATAGGAAACATTAAAGAATAACCAACTAGAGTTGAAGAATTGAAATGAAAAATACATTTCATTTTCAAGGGAATCAGGAGCAGATTAGAGGATATAGAAGAATGGACCAGCAATTTGGAAGACAGGGTAATGGAAGGCAACCAACCTGAACAGCAAAAAGAAAAAAGAATAGTAAAAATAAGAAGAGGTTAGGGGTGCCTGGGTGGCTCAGTCAGTTGGGTGTCTGACTTCAGCTCAGGTCATGATCTCACAGATCGTGGGTTCAGGCCCCGCATCGGGCTCTGTGCTGACAGCTAGCTCAGAGCCTGGAGCCTGTCTTCGGATTCTGTGTCTCCTCCTCCCTCTCTCTCCGACCCTCCCCTGCTCATGCTGTCTCTCTCTCTCTCTCAAAAAGTAAATAAATAAAATATTTTAAAAAAAATAAGAAGAGGTTAAGGGAATTCAAAAATATCATCAAGCATAATAACATTCACATTATAGGAATCCCAAAAGAATAAGATACAGAAGGAGACAGAAAACTTATTTGAGGAAATAATAGCTGAAAACTTTCTTAATCTGAGGGAGGAAACAGACGTCCAGGTCCAGGAACAGAGAGCCCCAAACAAAATGAACCCAAGGAAGTCCACACCAAAATACATAATAATTAAAATGGCAAAAACTAAAGATAAAAAGAGAATATTAAAAGCAGCAAGAGAAAAACAAACACATATAAAGGAAGCTCCATAAGGCTGTCAGCTGATTTTTCAGCAGAAACTTTGTGGGCCAAAAGGGAGTGGCATGACATTTTCAAAGTACTAAAAGGAGAAAACCTACAACCCAACAAGGTTATCATTCAAGCCGAAAGGGATATAGAGTTTCCCAAACAAAAGTTAAAGGAGCTTATCATCATTGAACTGGTCTTACAAGAAATGTTAAAAGGAATTCTTTAACTGGAAAGAAAAGACCATGACTAGAAATTAGAAAATTACAAAAGAAAGGGAAAATATTTTACTGGTAAAAATAGATCAACCACATATGAAGCCAATTTGGAAGTTCAAACACAAAAAATAGTAAAAATCAACTATATCTACAAAAATTAGTCAGTGGGCACACAATATAAAAAGTAAACTATCACATACATAAAATGTAGATAGGGGAGTAAAAAGTTAGTGTTTTAGAATGTGTTCAAATTTAAGTTATTATCAACTTCATATAGACTGCTGTACACATAGGATGTTATATATGAACCCCATGGCAACCACAAATCAAAAATCCATAGTAAATACACAAAAAATAAAGAAAAAGGAATCCACACAAAACACTAAAGAAAGAAAGGCAACAAGAGAAGAAAGGAACAGAGAAAATCTACAAAAACAACCAGTAAAAAATTAACAAAAGGCAATGAGTATATACTCATCAATAATTATTTTAAATATAAATGGACTAAATGCTCCAATCAGAAAACAGTGTGACAAAATGGAGTTTTAAAAAAGGCCCATCTATAATGCTGCCTATAAGAGAAAAATTCATGTCAAAAGACGCAGACTAAAAGTAAAGGGATGGGAAAAGGTATTCCATACAAATGGAGGCAGAAAAAAAGGTGCAGTAGCAGTACTTATATCAGACAAAATTTACTTTAAAATAAAGACTGTAATAGGAGGTTTTTAAATAGGCATTATGTAATGATAAAAGGGTTCAATCCAAAAGCAAGTATTAACAGACATAAAGGGAAAAATTTATAGTAACACAGTAATAGTAGGGGACGTTAACACCTCATTTATATCAATGAATAGAGCACCCAGACAGAAAATCGGTAGGAAACTGTGACTTTGAACCACACATTAGACCAGATGGATTTAATGATTAATAGAATACTCTACCCAGAAACAGCAGAATACACATTCTTTTCAAATGCACACAGGATATTCTCCAGGATAGATCATGTTAGGCCACAAAATAAATCTCAGTAAATTTAAGAAGACTAAAGTCGTATCAAGCATTTTTTCTTTTCTTTTTTAATATAATTTATTGTCAAATTGGCTAACATACAGTGTGTAAAATGTGCTCTTGGTTTTTGGGGTACATTCCCTTGGTTCATTGCTTACACACAACACTGAGTGCTCATCCCAACAAGTGCCCTCTGAAGTGCCCATTACCCATTTTTCCCTCTCCTTACTCCTCAGTTTGTTCTCTGTATTTAAGGGTCTCTTGTGGTTTGCCCTCTTTCCTCTCTGTTTGTGACTATTTTTTCCTCTTCTCTTCCCTTGTGGTCTCCTGTTAAGTTTCTCAAGATCCACATATGAGTGAAAATATATAATATCTGTCTTTCTCTGACTGACTTATTTTACTCAGCATAATACTTTCCAGTTCCATCCACATTGCTGCAACTGGCATGACTTCATTCTTTCTAATTGCCAAGTAGTATTCCATTGTATATATAAACCACATCTTCTTTATCCATTCATCAGTTGATGGGCTTTTGGGCTCTTTCCATAATTTGGCTCTTGTTAAAAGTGCTGCTATTAACATTGGGGTACATGGGCCCCTTTAAATCAGCACCCCTGTATCCTTTGGATAAATTCCTTGTAGTACTGTTGCTGGGTTGTAGGGTAGTTCTATTTTTAATTTTTTGAAGAACCTCCACACTGTTTTCCAGAGCAGCTGTACCAGTTTGCATTTCCACCAACAGTGCAAGAAGGTTCCCATTTCTCCACATCCTTGCCAGCACCTGTAATTTCCTGAGTTGTTCATTTTAGGCACTCTGACAGGTGTGAGGTTGTAGCTCAATGTGGTTTTGATTTGTATTTCCCTGATGATGAGTGACATTGAGCATCGTTACATGTGTCTGTTGGCCATCTGGATGTTGTCTTTGGAAAAGTGTCTATTCATGTCTTCTGCCCATTTCTTCAGGGCATTACCTGTTTTTTGGATGTTGAGTTTGGTTACTTCTTTATAGATTTTGGATACTAACCCTTTATCCGATATATCATCTGCAAATATCTTTTCCTATTCTGTCAGTTGCCTTTTAGTTCTTTTGATTGTTTCCTTTACA